ATTCATATATATTTAACAGATTAAATAATAAAAAAATTAAAAAAAATTCAATTTTTATAATTAAAAAACTAAAAAAGTGCAAAAAAAAATCAAAAAATAAAAACTATGTAAAATCTTAAGTTGACTGATTAAAATTAACATTTAACTCTAATTAAAAGCTAATGTAGTTAGAGTATAGAAAGTCGGTGGTAGCATGATGTGATGATCCCGTATCAAAAAAGGAACAATCCAATTCTTGTTTGAAGTATTTAACGATGCAACATATAGATTGAGGTATCATTTCAGTGTCTTGAGTTTCGAACTCTGGATAGTTTTTTACAAAACTATGATAATTTGATACATAGGCATTATATAAAATCAAATTGTTATTCCTATCTCATTCATAAGCTGCTATTTTATCCTTGCTATTTTATTTAAAAATTGGTTCTTACTTTAAAATTTCTTCGACTCATATTAAAGATTGGCACATGCATCATATTTATTATAATTCAATTTTCATATTTATTGTTATAAGAATTAAAATAGTGATGGTTAAGAGAATAGACTAATAAAAAGTTTAGTATCTATTCATCTATTATCTAAACAAAGAAGATTAAACAACAAAATTAAACTTTACAAGTTGACCTTTCAAGTGAATATGATTTATTAATTTTATACCGTAACATGTAAAGTTAAAAGCAAAACTAATTTGCAAAGTAGAAGTGAGGAAGAAATTGAATTGATTGTGATGAGCTTACCATTCAATGATAAACCTCAGTTGTAAACATTTTTGTTCATAAAAATGTAATTGAGAAATCATAAATAATTACAAAGAATTTAAGAAAAAGATTCATATCCATCCATTAAACATAGATCTTTTCATACTACTTTCTTAATTTGAAATTTCTATAACTATCTATCTCATTCATGGACTTAAATCGTCTAGAAATTGGTTCCTACTTTGAAATTCTTCTACTCTTATATTACATATTGACATATACATGTATCATATTTATTGCTTGTCAATTTCCATATTTACTTGACAAATGTGATCAAGCAAATGTAAATGAGGAAACTTGTAAGTAATTGCAGGAAAGGAATGAACAAAGAGGAGTAAAAGACTCGAGTTATTTTGACCTTCTTTATAAAAGGTCCAACATTAATGTTGTTACTTTCTAGAAGAAATAATTTTCTACCACATATAGTTCTCTTTCTCTAAGTTTTGGCTCCCTCTTCTTGTCACTTTATTGTTCTTACTTTTTTTTTTATTCTTTGGGATTCATTACAATATGAATTACTTATTAAAAGTGAAATTCACTCTATAAATTTATTAAAACATCTTTAATAAAAATGTTATTTTGTTAAGAACATTTTAGTAAATCTATAAGTCAAACTACACATTTAATGTACAATCCACCATATAAAACATCTTTTTGTGATTCTTTTACTATTTTTATTTTATTTTACTTGACAAAGTGAAATTAAAGAAGTTAAAAAAGAAAGAGTTTATCTTTACATAATTAAAAGATCAACACCACTTAAATCAT